CTCCTGGACACAGCCTGGGAAGAAAAGGGCAGAATTTGAGCCCTAGTGATGGAAAGGCAGCTGGCTTATTTCTCAGAAGCAGCATGACCTGGGGGTGGGTTCATGATGCCAGTGACCCCACGTGGTGGTGCCGATTAATCTGCTGTGAGCACTATGCCTCCCCACCCCACCCAGAATGTCAGACACCTAAGGCCACGGAGAAACTTCCCAGCAATCTTTCTTCGCCTCAGAAGGTGGCCTGAGATAAACATCTGTGCCAGCACTTCCCGGGTGGAGAAGGGAAGGAATGAGTGTCTGGGGACACGTTTCTACAAGAGCCCCTTGCGCATCAAGGTCCTCACCAGCTGCAGGGGTCATGCAGCCTGTCTGTGACACCGATGAGCCCTCCCTCCCACAAACGGAGCCCAATGTGCTGGGGTAGGGGCACAGGGGACAGAAAAGTGTCCCCCAAATCAGTTGCCCCAAACATCTCCAAGTGGGAAGGGGGACATATGAGTAGTGGGGGGAGTGCCTGCACAATCTCTGGACTTGAGCCTCCTTTGTCATGCAGGAAACTCACTGAAGGCCAACAGAGCCAAGGGGACTGTCCCCAAACCAAAGAAAGGACAGATCGGTGGGGGTCACCAGGGGTCTTGAGTCCCCAGGGCCTGCTTGGTCAGGACTCCCAGCCCACCCCCGCGCTGTGCTGGTGCATCATCTCGGGTAGTAGTCGTCGGGAACGCCTGTGAGGTTCCTGCCTCTGAGGGCTGCGTCCACCATCTTGATGTAGGCAGAGATGGTCTTCTGCATGTCCGCCGTGTAGGGGTCGTACTCGAGCTTGCGGAGCCCTGAGCGCTTGAAGTTGCCGTCCTTCTGGCTCTCCACGCACAGCAGCCGGTCCTCCCTGACCGCCACGCCCAGCAGGCTCACCATGCGGCCCAGCTGGACAAAAAGGTCCTGCTTCAGGTCCTCAAAGTGCACCACCAGCACCTTCCTGCCGAACTTGAGCCAGTCGAGAGTGTGCGTGGCCCACCAGGGGGCGTAGTTCCTCACAAACTCCGGCCACTCTGCGGAGATGGGGGCAGGAGGCGGTCAGAGGGAGGGGGCTCAAATGACCTGGGTCAGATGGTGCTGGCCGGGGCTGCCTTTACTCACAGCAATAATAACACAATGAACTCCGCTTAGATGTCCGCACTCACCCGACACCTCCCACCTCCATGCTGCTGCTTTTGCCTGGAATACTCTGTGTTCCCTTCTTTTTGGGGATAGCAATAACATCTGTTTGGTGCTCCCTATGTGCCAGGCACAGCCCTATATATAAACATATGTTACTATAAGATAATATATAACATTTAAATATATTTTGCATTCTTTATATTGATGCATAATATATTAATTATAAATTTTATATTCTCTATGATGTTATAATTATATACTAATAAAAATATTAATATAGCTATTAATTGCTCTTAATCTTCACAACAACTTTATGAGGTAGGTATCATCATTGTCTCCATTTAACAGCAGAAGAAACTGAGGCACAGAGAGGTTAAGTAATTTACTCAAGGTCACACAGCCAATAACTTCAAAGTTTGGGCTTTTAACTACCAAGTCCTGTGAAGTCCTAGTATCTACTCACAGGATAATAACAGAGCTGTTGCTCAGAGAAAGTGGAAAGAGCATATATAAAGTGTGGACCCTGTAGCTGCTCAATAAATGTCAGCCGTTATTATTACTGTTATCATTCTGTTCTCAGGTAAGATGTCATCTTCCCCAACTCTCCGAGCTCAGACAGGTGCTTCCTCTGTGCTTTGCACTTATGCTGTCTGTCTCCCCAACAGACCAGCAGCTACCTGAGGGCCGTCTTTAAGTCAGATTATTAATGTTGTCATCTTTACACATTACTGTTCCACCTTTCTTTGCTGTTTATTAAATTATCATGCACTGTTTGTTTGCTGTTGGTCTGTTACCTTGTTGGGAGGATGTGTTTGGGATTGTCTGACTTAAAAGACAGGTCATAGGGGACGTGAGAAATTCCTCTGGGAGCCCTGGAGAGGACCTCAAAGAGAGAGGCAGCCAGCTCCTAGGGCTCCGGCAGCAGGAGAAACTGGGGTAACTGCGGAGGGGGGACATGAAAGATGTTGGGAACAGAGAAAAGGAATCAGCCTCAATTCTGAGCTCCACAGGAGTCACAGGGCAGGTGCTCCGAGGCCCTGAAGTGATACTCGCTGCTTCTCATGGGGGCAAACACTACCCAGCACCCTCCAGAGGGGGCAACAGGAAGAATTTATTGGATGAGGGTTGGTGACCCCCAAGCTAGGTTGGGGAGCCCAGCTGGTTCTTAAAAACCAAATCCTAATTCCTTGCTGGGTGATGAACACCCATTATCTCATTTAATCCTAAAGGAAAGGGCTACTGTTCACTCATCACCAGGGAGAAAACCGAGGCTCAGAGAGGCAAAGTGACTTGCTCAAGGTCACACAGCAGGAAGCATCCTCCAGATCAGGCCTTCCTGATTCCAGGCCCAGATCATTTCCGGGCACCAGCAGCCTCATCCCCACTTCCTCCCACTGCCTTGTACTCAGCAGGGGCTCAATGAATGGTTGTTGAACTAAATTGAAATTCCCAGCCGCCAAGTTGTGATGTGATAAAGGATTCCTTTTCTTTGCAAAACACATCAGAATCTGGGGTGAGACTACTGCTCCCCAGACCCCCCTGGAACACCATGGCTACTTGGGAAATATTTATGCTGATGACAAAGATACTTTTTATCCTTAAAATAGATTATTTACAACGTATCTGGCTAATTGGGCCCATACTGTTTTAATGGGTTAGGACCAGATGTATCTGAGTGATTAGGAAAAATCTAGCATGTGTATGGTCTGTTTTACTTTTCAGCATTTCCCCACTTCCAAGTCACCTCACAGCATCCCTGGTGATTCAGGACAGCTGCTACTCTCATGGGAGAAACCCAGGTGTTGAAGATGGTGGTTGGTCACCTAACAACACCCAGATCCAGACTTCTAGGCTTGGCTACTTCTGGCCATCTCAAGTGGTTGCTGAAAGAAGGCTGCAGGGTGGCCCTCAAGGAAAAGGAAGGGCTGGTCTGTGAGGTGGCTGGAGTCGCCCAGTATCTCCAGGTGCCCCAGCCTTGGATGCAGGTGGGATAGAGATGACATGTTGTCTGTTGATTGCAAACCTCTGTGGGGCATCAGACTCCTCTGTCTGAGTAGCAGGATGGGAATGTATGTTGCCTAAGCACCCAGTGGGTGTCATGGGCTGTGCTGGGTACTTTGTATACATGATCTCATTCAGTGCTCTCAAGAAGCTTAGGGAGTAGGAAGGTCTAGTCCTACTCTTTCTTATGCATGGAGAAAAGGAGGCTCACAGGCATGAAGCAACTTACCCAAGGGGACACCATGGGCGTTTGGAGACTGGCCCCCACCATCCTGACAAACCTACTCTTTCTTATGCATGGAGAAAAGGAGGCTCACAGGCATGAAGCAACTTACCCAAGGGCACACCATGGGCGTTTGGAGACTGGCCCCCACCATCCTGACAAAAGCACCTTTAAGAGCACCTGTCTCGATCAGCTCCAGCTCTCTTTTTGCTCTGGGTTCTGGCTCCAGCTTGACTCCTACTCTGTCCAGGGCTCACTTCACCTTCAGGCTGTTATCTCAGACACGAGGTCAGTTCATAGATGACTCTGCAGTCAGACTGCTTGGGTTCAAAACCCAGCTCCTTTCCACATGCACAATGTGACCTTGGAGATGTTACTTGAGCTCCTTGAGTCTCAGTTTACCCATCTGCAAAATGGCGATCCCAATGAGACCTGCCTCCTTGGAATAAGATTTCCAGATTCTGGTATGGTGCCTGGGACATAGGAGGTGCTCAATAGATGTTGGCTACTCCTACAATTATTTGTGACGATGTTGGCCCCCAGCATTTCCTGACACTACACATGCTCTATCATTTTGGTCTGAGTTTCCTTCCAAAAGCAAATAGATACCCAAGCTGTTTCAGCAGCAGATGTCCGCCCACCCCCTCCTATGACAAAGCTTCCTTACTTGAAGCTCTTAAATTACTTCATTGGAAAGAAGAATAAAAATTAAAAACAAAAGCCCTCGATTAGCTCAGGATTCCTGGTAATTGATTGCTGCCTGCAAATTGGGTAATGAAGGCACGCTGAGCCACGGAACATCAGTAATGAGTGCTGGTTCCACCGGAAGCCACACGGGTTTGGCTGGCCAGCATCTGCTCTGTCTTCTTGTTGGCGGGAGGAACCTGGGACTGATTAATAGCTTAACTGTACTTAATTCCCCACAGAATCGTTAAACACAGTATCTGTTTCATTAAATAGATCCAGGACAATTCACCTTGTGTAATCATATCACATAAAATTTTGCTTTGGACTCACTCCAGGGAGATCGTAAAATTAACATTACGGAACCAAAAAGGGGGAGGTAGTGGGGGTTGTAGGAGCCTCAACTCAGCTACAATTGTGAAGGAGACAAGGGCAAGAAGGGGTGGACAGGCTCAACAGGCCCTTACAGGGTGACCCTCACATTCTACGCCAAGGACATCTTAGAGCAGCAATTCTCAAACTTTGAAGTGCATGCGAAGCCCCTGGGGGAGTCTTGTTAAAATGCAGATTCCGATCCAGTAAGCCTGGGCTGGGGCCTGAGGTTTGCTTGTCTGAAAATCTCCAGGTGATGTTGGTGCTGCTGGGCCACAGGCCATACTTGGAGTAGCAAGGCTTTAAGGCGGTGGGTCTTAAACTGGAGTGGACATCAGAAACACCTGGAGGGCTTGTTAAAATGCAGATTGCCAGGGCCCACTCCCAGAATTTCTGCTTCAGTACGTCTGGGATGAGGCCTAGGCAAATGAGAATTTGCATTTCTAACAAGCTCCAAAGTGATACTGATGCTGCTGGTTCAGGGATCCTAAAGCAAGGGTCTCAAACTCAAGCGCCCAAAGGGGTCAGATGGTCAGATGGTGAACGCAAATGAAGGGAGAGGGCTGGGTGGGGGCTAGGGGTTCTGCTCGTTGGGGAGGGCTCTCTGCCAGAGCCCTTGAAGACCTGGGTCAAGCCTGGGAGGGGGCCCTGGAAGAAGACCCCTTCTCTCCATTCCAGACTAATGTGGGACCCAGGGCCCCAATGTGAGATGAGTGTGGTGGGACTGCCCCCCGCCCCATACCCCTACAGCTTCTTGGTTCAGCCGGTCCCACTCCTCTCTTAGAGTTGGTTTTAAAGCTCCCAGCTGTCTTGAATGGGGAAAAAGAAGAGAGGCGGTTCCTGGGAATTAGAAGAATGGTCTGATCCTAAGACAGGCAGCCGTCTGGGAGAGGAGAACCTCTGAATGCACCAGAGGCTCAGTGACATCTCAGGGTGAGAGCAGATCCTGCCAGTTCATGCCTCGATGTGAATCTCAGCTCAGTCAATACCTGGGTCCTTAGCCAGGTGACCTGCCCCTTTCTGTGATGGTTTTCTCACCTGCAGAATGGAGTGCCCAAGCAACCTGGGCAGTCTCTGCCTCTCTCTGGGTCTTGGTTTCCCCACTAATAAACAGGAAATCAGCGGTTCTCAGCCCTCTCTGTACATTGGAAGCAGCTGAGGAGCTTCAAAAAATACTGATGTCTAGGTTCCACCCCAGTAATGGTCTGCGGACTTTCCCATGCTTCTCTGGGGATTTGAATGTGCAGCCAGGCCTGGGGACCCCTGGGTTCTGTGACCTCCCAGTTCCTTTCCAGCTCTGACTAGTGGAGTCTATGCTCTTAGGACAGGCTGCTGCCACTTGCATCTGCAGATTTCTCAGCCTGGCTCTAACCAGTGTTCACTTTCTACAAATAAATAATTTAGAGGCCTCTTTACTCTGGGAGTAAGTGAACAAATGTCACCACCTGTCCAAGCTTCCATCCTCTCACTGAGAGGAGGAGCAAGGTAGGGAGAGGGACACACATGACCCCTTGAGTGAACTGGGAACCCAGGGGCACAGTTGGTCAGGCAAGCACAAGGATTTTAATCAGCAAAATCAATTATCAGTGAATCGCTGAATTTACATCACCCTGCCACACGCTTGTCTTCTCTGGGGAGGGGCTGGAGCTCTGGAGCAGCGTGGTTCCTGGAGTCTGGCTCAGATGGGGGCAGCTCACATTTACTGAGCATCTACTGTGTGTCAGGGTCTCTGGGTTGGGTGATTGTATCCACCAACAGTCCGTCTAGTCCACTATCATAGTGCAGGGCTTATGGGTATGGGCTCAGGAGCAAGAATCCCTGCGTTCAAATCCCAGACCTACCACTTCGTGGAAAAGCTCTCATGCCCCCATCCCCCAGCTTTATTGAGGTATAACTGGTATACAAAAAACTGCTCATAATTAATATATACAACTTGGTGAGTTTGGATATGTGGATACCCTTGTGTTACCATCACCACAATCCAGGTAATAAACATTTCCATCCCCTTCAAAAGTTTCCCTGTGTTGGCTTGTGTGTGTGTGTGTGTGTGTGTGTGTGTGTGGCAAAAACACTTAACACGAGATCTATCCTTTTAACAAGTTTTCAAGTACAGAACACCTTATTGTTAGCACCTTATTGTTAACTATGTTGTTCAGTAGATCTTTGGAACTTACTCATCTGCTATAACTGTAACTTTATACCCACTGAACAACAACTCCCCATATCCCCTCCCTCTAGAAAGCTCCTTCATCTCCCTGAAATTAAGTTGTCCCATCTATAAAATGGGGATAATTACTGTGGGGGATGATTCTTAAGAAGTCAACCCTTTCCAAAACACTCAGTAGAAATAACTCTCATTATGGTGACAGTGACGCTCAGGTAATTGATAAGGGATTTTGAGACTCAGAAGGGGTAAAGATACTCAAGATGGCAGAGGTTGGGTCTGACTTCAAAGTTCTGGCTGTCACCTTGGGCTGCAGCTCTGTGTTGAAATGTTCATCCACACAGCCCTTTACCGTCTAAGTGCCAGAACCAAATATCAAGCCCAGATCACCTTAATAAGTTCAATGCTTTGGGGACTACACTGTCACTTTCCAGCTGTGTGATGTTGGGCCAGTTACTTAACTTCTCGGAGCCTCCCAACCCAGACTTATTGGGAGAGCTTATTGAAATGATGCTCTGTACATGAGCTTTTAGGACCTCCTGTCCACATAGGCACTCAGCCACTGACCTAGGGCTTGATTCAGGTCTCTTGACTCCCAGAATAGGGCTCCTTAACTTGTTTCAATAAATCCCACATCAATTTCACAAGAATCTCCATCACCACAATGAGAGTCACATCTACTGAGTGTTGTAAAGGGGCTAACTTCTTAAAGCCCCACAATTTTATTATGCCCTTTTTATAGATGGGACAACCTGAGTTCAGGGAGGTTAAAGAGCTTTTCCAGGAAGTGGTGGAGCTGAGATTTGAACCCAAAGAGCCTTGCTTCTGAACCCATGTCCTTAACCACTGTACTATGTAACAGCATTGCTCACCCACCCTGATGGGAAACCAGCTCCTCAGCTGTCAGCAGGAACTGGGGCATGACACACATGCCCTCCTGGATTCCTCACATGGGACGTAGCCCCCTCATGGCCACCCTGGTACAGAGGACACTGTCCCCTCCCACTGTCCCCTGCACCCCAGGGCCCCACCCTGCCCCTTCCGAGCAGTACCTTTGCCCTTCCAGTGGGCGTGGGCAGCAAAGCCGATGTGACCACCATACTTGCGGTTGAATTCCGCCATGAGGGCCTTGTAGGGGTTACGTATGAGCAGGATGGCGGCATCGAAGGCCTCGATCTCCTTCTGGCCGCTCTCGTGTGTCTTGATGCAGATGGTCCTCCCGCTGCGCCAGTGGTCCCGCTCGCCTTTAAACCCTTCCCCACAGCCAGAGGTTAGGGAACACGGCAGGTGAGCTGGGGAAGCAAGAAGCCCACCCCACCCCTTCTGGGACACCTGAGGAATCCTCATATGTTCATTCATTCACTCACATGTTTATTGAGCATCTACTATGTGCCAGGCACTATGCTGGAAGCTGGGGACAAAAATGATTTGCAAAAGCATTCATGGGTCTTACTGTTTTCAAGGGTCAGACAATTAAAAAAATGACACAACTAAATGTAAGGTCACTGCCATGGTTAATGCTACAAAAGAGGAGTATTAATGTGTGGGTGCTATGAGAGAGGCCTGACGTGATGTGTTGGATGATTCCTCTTTGGATGGTGACTACATACCCACCCTACTGGTATTGGGTGTGCCCATACGACTTGCTTTGGCCTGTGGAAAGAGGGCAGAAGTAGGTCTTCACCAAGGTCTCCAGATGCATCATGTGATTCTGCTCACTCTCCTGTGCCTCTGCCACCACCATGAGAAATCAATGAGGCACATAGTAAGACATCTCAATAAATGGCAGCTGGTGCAGAACAAGACTTGGGGTGACACTGTAGTGG